CACCGGGTCCTGTCCGTAAATCACCCCGGCCGACGAGCGTTCTCGTCGTGCAGGCCGAGCGTCCTCGGTCACCGGGTCCTGTCCGTAAATCACCCCGGCCGACGAGCGTTCTCGTCGTGCAGGCCGAGCGTCCTCGGTCACCGGGTCCTACCTGAAAGTCACCGGCGCCCGACGGAGCTCGCCCTTCTCAGGGCGCCCGTACGCGTGTCCGCGTTGGAAACTCTAGCAATAAGTCGTGTCCGCGTCCGTATAATCTGGTCGCGTCTCGTCCGTAATATTTCTATCCGTCGATCCTAGCAATAAGTCGTGTCCGCGTCCGTATAATCTGGTCGCGTCTCGTCCGTAATATTTCTATCTGTCAATCCTAGCAATAAGTCGTGTACGCGTCTGTATCATCTGGTCGCGTTTCGTCCGCACTGCTATGTATAATGGCAATCATGAGACCACAGGAATGGGAATAAACTCTACTTGGCAAGTGACCAAGTAAATTTGGTGCCCTCTGCCCGAATTTAATTCCGACGAGCCGATCCGTGGCGTTGGGATAACGCACTGTCTCCGCGATCGGCTCTTATCGCCTGTCTTATACTTTAAATTTATATTTATATATGACAGAGCCTTGTTAACTCTTAACTTTATACACGCTGGCTTAAAGGCGTTTGTTTATCAACATTATTACATATATCAGAGAAAAGTATAGAATCGAAAGGATCTGAATAGCTCAGTTGGAAGAGCAGTCGCCCGGCAAGCGAAAGGTCTCGGGTTCGATTCCCGATTCAGCGACTTTCGGATCTATATTTTTCTCTTGCATTTATTTATTTCCGTAGGGGGGTTAAAGGAATATTGAAATTAAATCGCAAATATGAGATTATTTTATGTTTTAAAAAATCTTGGCAGTGACCAAGTAAAATTTGGTGCCTTGTGCACAGATATTTAATTCCAACGAAAAAATTTAGTTTCGTTGGGATAACGCACTGTCTTCCGCGATCGGCTCTTATCGCCTGTCTTATACTTTAAATTTATATTTATATATGACAGAGCCTTGTTAAACTCTTAACTAAATAAATAATATATATTCATTATTTATATAAATTATTTGTTGTCATTAAACTTAGATGTCCAGCATTAGGCTGAAATGTTGTACGAGTTGTGTTGTTTGTCAAAAAACTACTTTTTACTATGCAAATCGAATTCAGTGTTTTTGAACTAAGTTTATTTCTCTTTTTACTTTTCATATCTGTAACGAGTGAGAATATTCTCTCTGATTCCGCGTTGGAATGAGGAAGTATTAGTATGAAATTTGCTAGTTTGTATACATTAGGTGCAATTAATTCATTATTGAAGTTCTTGGCCTCTCCTATGCGTTGCCAAAATTCTTCTATACTTAAAGATGCCAAACTTTTTTTTTCTGTTTTATTAAACATAAAAGGTAAGTTCCTCCATTCCATTTCTAATTTAACTACGTCTAGGTAATTAGAAAACTTTTGTCCTAATAAAGAAAGAGAAGACAACGTATCACTTCTTTTATCCTGATATAGAACGAACATTGGTTTAATAAATGACATCATATTAAACAAAATATTGTTAATAGGAAGACGCTTCTTCATTTCTATGCTAGCACAAATATAAAATTCTAAACAATTTTTCCTAACATTGTTTTCAATATAGTTAGGAAAAGTTTTGAGGAAAGTATCACATTCAAGGCCCACATAAATATTTTCTAATTGCAGAAAGTTGTCAGGGTTACTGCAATTAACTGTAACTGAAATTAATTCAGGCTTTATGAAATTTCTTAAAATTAGGAAAAATAATTTTTTGCTTTCACTTGATAAATCACCTATTAAAATTTTGTCGCTTTGAAACAAAGCATTAAAAGTATTGAAATAATCAAGTGCGTGTTTTAAAAATAGTAAATAAGCCTTTGTACAGTCATTATTTAAATCGGATAATATACTCTCCGCTTGCTTTAATTTGTCTTCTACTGCACCTACTAAAAATAAACTTTTCAGAACTTCCCAGTTCTCTAATACTCGTGTTACGCAATGATGTAGAGAAAGCCATCTAGTAGCAGCCAATTTTAAAAGTTTATTGTTTTTTACTTTAAAGAATTTCTGCATTTCTACAAATTGTGCACATCGTTTAGCACTGGCTGACATATATGTAGACAAATTTCTCAACAAATTCTCAGGAGTTCGTGGTAGTTTTTGACATGCTTTGCTGGCGATCAGTGCTGCAGAATGACAAATACATTGCATAGTAAATAAGACATCGGTGTCTTTCTCTAATCTACTCTTAAAAGAATTTTCAGATCCTATCATTACAGCAGCACCATCTGAAGCAAAACCGATTATATTATTAATTGGAATATTTTTTTCATTTAAACATTGTTTAAATTTATTGTACACATTTTTAGCTGAGCAGTCTCTTGCATCTAAGTCTATTAATTCCAATAAAGTTGTGTTTACTTTAGTTGTAGCTGTCACGTACCTAACAAGTAGACAAAGACTTTTTTAAACCTATATCAGTACTTTCATCTATTAAGATGCTAAATTTGGTAAATTTTAAGTAATTGACTGTTTCTTTTAAGATTTCGGGTGCTAAAACGTTTTTTACTATGTTAGTACATTTAGTTCGACCTAACTGCATTTGTTTAGCTACAATAGAGTCATCAAATATGTCTCAAAGAACAGGCATAAGATGATCTATCAGTAAGAATGATACGTTATGATCCGCAAATACTGCGGCAAGTTTGATTTCTGCTCTTTTAACTTTCTCTACTTGTTTCTCAAATTGCTTCTGTTTAGTAAAAAAAGTATCTACTGACCTCGTATTTTTATAATCTTTTACATTATTCTTATGTTTTTTTGAATTTGCATGTTTTAATAGTTCACTTTTCCCGCATAGTAATTGCACATTACAAGCTAAACATTTGCATTTGCATGCATTAGATACCATTTCTTCCAACCAGCCTTCAAATTCTTTTTCTTGTAACCATTCTGGACGGAATTTTTGTGGATGCCAAGTTTTCTCTGCTTTCAAAAATTCTCCTCTAATGTTTCTCTTTTTTTTTGGAGTGGTACTTCCTGTAGACGTATTATTGACGACAGTTCTTGATTCTGGTTCTGATGATCTATATAAATTGTAAAAGGGTTAGGTATTTATACAAATTATTTTTAGCATTTCGTCAAAAACACTTACATCTCTATTGTTTCATTATCCATTTTTTTGTATTTGTTACTCTACTTGAGTAACTTCAGCCTCTTCTACGGATTACCAGCACATCTTTTAAACGGTCCGAGATTCCCGAGAATAGTACAGTGAACAGTAAGAAACATTAATAAATTTTTTTTTTGGTGTAAATAGGTGTAGATGAGCGCGCCATCCAGCTGTTCGCGGTGCACGGATGGCGAGCTCATCTACACGTATCTACCCTCTACACTCATTAATCATTAATGCTTCTCACTGTACGGCGGGACGTAGATATTCCGTACACTGACAATTACAAATCGTAATTGACTAGATAAAAAATTAAAAATAAATTTTAAAAATTAATTCGCTACAAAATATAAAATATCTTTGTAACTTAAATTTATTTAAAATCTTTGTATACTGTTAATAATCCCTAGATTATTGTTTGTTTTTTTAAAAAATCCCTTTTTCCTTATTTTACTTTTTTCCTTGTAATTCTCCCTAGGTTTAGGGAAATTCCCTATCATTTGGCAACACTGATCAGATTCATAATCAAATCTTGATGGCCTTATTTGAATCAAATAAGATCGTGTTTATTAGAAAGGGTATGTTCCAAAATTCAGTGCCGTGAGCGTGACGTCATAAAAGTATGCTATCAACAGCGTTTCATTTTTGTGAGCGTGCTGTAAATGCGTATACGATGTCTAAAATGGAACATTACTTTCAGTGCTGGCAGTGAACACAAAAGTAAACAACAGATTAACCTATAAAATGGAGAGAAATGATCAGAAAATATTTTTGTGATTGCAACATATATAAATTTAATAGCTGAATCTGATGAATCATGAAACGATGATTCAGATTCGGCAGAAGTATTAAATTTATTAGTGAAAAATAATGTAAAACGTGTACCTAAAGTACGGTGCCAAAATTATGTTGAAAATGTAGTGTGGCATTATACTGGCAATGCTTTTAAAAGCCATTTTTGGTAAATTATTTATTGAATAAAAATAAATTATTATTAATTGCTTGTTATTATTAATTTATGCAATAAACAATAGATAAAATAATGAAAATACTTTTTAAGTCAGCTTTTTTAATTTTAAAACCACAATCTCCACTTGATTCCTCTCGACCAATAGAGCCAAACGCGATGTTATTGCGACAATTATAAAAGAAAGAAAATTTGGAAACTAAGGAATTTGAATCCTATGGTTGGGATTTCAAAAATTCCCCTTGTTCCGACTTTCGGACCAATATTTTTCTCGCCTATTTCTTTACAGGGGATGTTAAGAGAAGGAACAAGGGGAATTTTTGAGATCCCAACCATAGGATTTAAATTCCTTAGTTTCCAAATTTCTTTCTTTCATAATTGTCGCAATAACATCGCGTTTGGCTCTATTGGTCGAGAGGAATCAAGTGGAGATAATAGATAAAATATTTTTACTATGTTTTTTATTAATTAATAATAACAAGTAATAATTCATAATAAACTATATAACGTTTAATTTAAATAGAAAATGTTATGATTTAATGTTTCCATAGCCTTAGTCGACCAACATTTACTTTTTTATTGGAGCTGTTAACTCCGCAATTATTGAAACAGTCTGAAGGATGTGGGAGGCATACTATTCCACCAGAGAAGACATTACTCTTGGCAATATGGATGATGGCAACTCCCAATTCGTATAGGTAAGTTTTATTGAATGACATTAGCATTTAATTTATAACATTTATAATTTATATTAATATTTAGCATTTATTTATTAACTCTATAGATGTGTGTTGCTGATTGATTCAATGTCGGAAAAGCAATGGCTTGGAGATGTGTTCACAAAGTTGTGAATGCATTATATTTACATCTTCATACATTTATTACATGGCCAGACAGAGCAAGAGCAGAAAATATTTGGACACATGTTAAAAACAAATACAAATTTCCAAAAGTGATAGGAGCGATAGACGGTACTCATAAAAATTGCAGCACCGAAATTACATCCAGAAGCTTACATAAATAGAAAAGGCTATCACTCTATACAGACACAGGTATTTTTGTAAAAGTGTTAAATTATATTTTTTTATGAATAAAAATTCTACAGACATATGTAATAATAATATTATTTTCTCTTTTTTTAGATAATATTTGATAATGAATTAAAAATCACTCATGTTTATGCAGGACAAGTAGGGTCAGTGCATGACATGAGAGTTTTTAGATTATCTGGCTTTGAAGACATGTGTACCGCAGAAAACTTCCCAGAGAATAGCCATTTATTAGGTGATGCCGCATATGGCATCCAAAAATATATAATGGTTCCGTTTAAAGATAATGGACATTTAACAGATGCACAAGTAAAATATAATACTTGTTTGTCTGAAGCGCGAATGATGGTAGAAAGAACAATAGGCTTGTTAAAAGGAAGATTTCGAAGTCTTTTGGATATATTACCTATGAGAAGAACTGATTTGATACCTAAATATATTTGTGCTTGTTGTGTTTTACATAATATTTGCTTAATACGAAATGATTACATTGATGATATTCCAATTATTGTACAGCCAAATGAACCTGTACAATATGAAATCGAAAATATACCTCAAATTATACGAGAAGAAGGTATTGAGAAACGTAACGCTATTGTATATTATTTGCAAAATGAAAATTATTTTGAATAAAGTTGTATGAAGTTATAAAACATTTTCTTTCTTATATTATCTTTATATTTTTAGATCCCTATACCATATAATATACAATTAAAAAATAGATAAGATTATGTATATATTTACACACACATGCATACAATCATAAGAAAGCTGAGTAAAAAGCTTTTGCACAATAAAAAATAACAGGAACAAGGAATAACATAGGAAAGCAAGAGAGTACTTTCCTACGTTCTTTCCGTGATCCTATTTCTATTACTTTTAAATAATACTAGAGCTTTTACAATACATATACTATAGATAAATGCACGCATAAATACTTTACGGGATCTATCCACATACACAATTAATTTACATACACAATTTAATTTGTATGTACAATAAACTTTATTAAAGAAACTATCACAATTTTTCTTACATTATTTAAAATAAAATTAAACTCATCATAATTTTATATTAAAGTGACATAACAGTCTTATATATTTTAAGAATACATAACAGTCTTATATATTTTTATAAGAACCAATAAAATATTAATTATATAAAAGTTATTACTTTTTAAGTATTTCTGTTATTAAATTTTCAATACTTGTTAGACGAGTCATTTTTTCTTCATGTCTTTTTTTAGCATTTATCTCTTTTTCTGCTTTCATTTCTAAAGATTTTTCTAAATAATCTTCTACTGCGTTTTGAATGTTTCGTTTCTTTGGCACTGCAAATAAAAAAATAATTAAGAAATTAATAAATAAAAAAAATTAAAGAATGCATGTACTACAAAATATTTTAATAGAAAATATAAAACAAAAATGTATATATAAGTGCAAATATTTTATTTATTTTTCTTTATATATTTTAGATGTAATGTAATTATGTGTTTACCTGATTTTATTGCGTCATTGTTCTCTGTATTATTTGTAGTATCATTAATATTAGCAGAAGTATTAACGCTATTTCCAGCTGTTGCTATTGGTTCAACCCAACCCTTACGAAAAAGAACTACTGCCGATTACACATAAATATTACTAATAATTACATGGGAATATCGCTGGATATCACAGGAAATATTATTGGGTATTACAAAAATATTACTGGATATTACAAGAAATATTACAGGATATCACAGAAAATATTATTGACAATTACATAGAATGTCAATAATTATTTCGTACCACTGCCGAAATATATTACTGCCAAAATATATTATTGCCAAAATATTACTGCCTAAATAAAAGAGGCTTTTTGGAATAATTTCAGTAGAGTTACTGATAAGACAATATTTTAATAATGATTTCCAGTTAATTTTAAAAGATAATTAATAGACACAACGACCAAAATATATTATTACTTTTTTTTCATCATTGAAATAATAGTAAATATATATATTGGTGATGTGTCCAATAACTTTCGTTTTAAAATTAACTGAAAATTATATTACTAAAATATTGTTGCTTTATCAGTAACTACTGAAATTATCCCAAAAAACTTCTCCTATAAATCTTATATGTTACTTCAATATACATTAAACACGTATATAATAAAATAATAGCTATTTATTGCATACAATTTTATATATATAATATATACAGGGTGTCCGGTAATTGTCGCCTCAACCGTCGTGTGCAGGTAAAGTGAGTTAAACCGAATAGGAAAGTCCTCTACCGTTTTGCGATTTTCGCAATAATTATTGAGTTATTAAATAAAATAGATCGGCCAATCCACGCGAATAGAAGCGCGCGACGAGAAGAGACGTCCTACTGTAACACGATACACGAAGATTTCTCGAACACGATTCGTAGACAGTCATCGTTCGCTCCTCCTTCCGCTTTGCGACGCGCCGTGTATCGTGTTACAGTAGGACGTCTCTTCTCGTCGCGCGCTTCTATTCGCGTGGATTGGCCGATCTTTTTTATTTAATAACTCAATAATTATTGCAAAAATCGCAAAACGGTACAAGACTTTCCTATTTGGTTTAATTCACTTTATCTGCACATGATGGTTGAGGCGACAATTACCGGACACCCTGTATATACAAATATATATTAGGTATATTTTTTATTTATTAAACTCAGAAATTTTTGCAAACTTTAATATACTCAGAAATATTGCATACTTATACTCAGAAAACTTGAAAAAAAACGAAAAGTATTCTTTGCATTATTGCATTTGCTACGAACAAAAAACTTAATTAAAATATTTTAAAAATTAAAAAAAAACTTAAAAAAGTCACATGTTTTGCACTTTGCATTTGCTGCAAACGAATTTTTAAAGAAAGTTAACAATATTTTTTTGCGTTATTACATTTGCTGCGAACAGCAGCTCGAAATAATTTTTCATTGTCCCGAGTCTTTCCTCCGAACCGTTCGTATATGTACGCTGTAAAAAAATTAGATTTGATGTAGATATCTTGAAAACACCGATTACAATATTTAATAATTCTCATTTATTTTATGTTATTATTTATTTTACCTGCAACATCTGCTACACATGTAGGATCAAGCTGTTGTGTCGATGCTTTTGGGCAGTTTTTTCCTTTATTCGCATTAGCCTGCTTCCCTGTTAAGCTGCTTTCTCGCAATTCCTCGCGATCGAACACTAATCCAAGTAATTCGCTTGCCATCATTGATAGGCCGTCTTTGTCATTAATTTTTTCCAATTGTTGATTGCTTAAAAACCGATCTCCAAAATATTTTCTATTTTCCTGTAAATTAAACAGAGAATTCTTTTAAAAATATATTACCATAGAGTACCATAAAATTACAAATTATTGTCTAATTTATTGAGTAAAATATTATGAATATATTATTAACCTTTAATTTGTTCTCATTACTACTGATTGTCATCAGTTGTCGTTTCTCGTCACGTTTTGTTTCAACGGTTTTAAGTACACGATTTTTCTGAAAAATGTAATTTATAAGTTATTCTGAATTGTAACTGAGTCATTTTTCATGATAGTTTATTATTAAATATTAAATTAGTGTGTATAAGTATAAAAGTGTATATTTTGCTTTATAACTATAATCAACTTTGAATTCTTTTGTATTGGCCTTTTTAAAAACAAGATATATTTAATATTACATTATAATATTAAATAATAAACTATCATAAATATTTATAAATAAATAAATATATATATGTATTGTGAATGAAATTTTACTATTTCATTGTCATCCTGTGGAACAATCGTTTTATTTTTATAAGGTACTCTAAAAACTGCGTAATCATCGTTCAATGAGTCTTCATTTATTGGCGGATCAAATGAATCTATGAAGCCGTCAAAGACAATTTTTTGGGCATTATCTTCGGCTCTCTCTTTATGTAAATTGTCTACATTCTGTAAAAGAAAAAATGTTTTACAAAATATCTATTTCTATTTTCTTTTGTTTAGTGAGCTGAAAATGCAGGTGTATATTCAACTTATTTTAAACTTTTTTTAAAAACTTATTTACCTGTTTTTTTGTTTCCCGTTCATTAACTTTTAAAAGTCTTAAAATTGTCGTCGTCATGTCTTTTATGTCTTTTAAATCTAAAAACAAAAAATATATACATATTGATATATAATTTTTAATAAAAATCTTATATTATTTTTACATTTGTGAAAAAAAAATAAATCTAAACCTTTTGCGCTAGCTATTTTTATTTCTTTATTTTCTTCTTTTAATTTTAAATTTTCGGCTTCCAACGCTCTATTTTTCTTTCTCAAAGATACCGTTTCTTCTGTAAATTTTATTTTATTGTTATGTGATGTTGATAGAGTTCTCATTGATATTGCACAATCATCATCTGATGACGAAGTCGAATCCGAATCTGCACGAGTCACCTATAGATATGTTGGAATTATTACAGTAAAAACATCTTTTATTTCTCAGTAATAAAAGTAATGCACTTTTTCAATAAATAAATAAATAAATAAATAAATAAATATATATATATATATATATATATATAGATTCTTACACTTTGTGCCTCTGATTGTGATTGATCCTTTTTTTTAATTTTTTCCAGTATATTTCCCGCCACTTTTTTTGCAGCACTGGTTCGACGTTTATTTGTATCCTAGCAAACAAAAATACAAGACATATTAGTGACATTATTTTTAAAAATGTATATATTTACTGAATTATCTATTATATAACAATTAGTATAAAGTGTTTATGTGTTTAAGAACAAGTTCGTAAAATTTGTTCTCAAACACATAAAAACAGATTTTTATACTAATTGTTATATATATATATATATATATATATATATACATAATAGATAAAAGTAATGAAAAGAATTGAAAGTATAATATGTAAAAAATCAAGCTGTAATTAAGACACAAAAGTAAGACATTAATTAAATCAATTCTTAACATGATCAAAAAACATCAGAAATTAAAGAATTCACATCGCATATATCTTAAGTCTACAGTATTTTATAAATATTATTTTATTAATGTCTTACTTGTATGTGTTAATTGCAGCTTGAAAATTTTTTCATTTACAGCGCATGCATGTTAAGTCTACAGTATTTACATAATACTGTAGACTTTAAGATGTATGCGCTGTAAATTTTCTAATTTTTGATGTCTTTTGTTCACGTTAAGAATTGACTTTATTAATGTCTTACTTTTATCTTTTACGGCTTGAAATTTTTAATTTTTTTCATACCTTTAATTCTTTCTTTTTATCATCCTCTTCACTACTACTGCTGCCTTTCTTCTTAGCAGCATACTTCTTCCTATCTTCCTTCGTTGGATTTGGCTCATCATATTTAAGATAATTTTTAAGCTGCGTGTTCATGCTTGTCCAATCTGTGAATATATAAATGTAGATATTTATAATTTTACAAATTTACAAGTATCCTAATTAAATAATATTTGTCACTGCCATATATGCAGTAAAGTAAATATAATAAAATTTTTTATTTAAAAACTATACTCATATTAATAACCTCCAAATCCTAAAATGGACACGATGTGCGGAGTCCACTTGCAATTAAGAAATTTTTTCTTCATTTTTGCATTCAGTGGACCAACGATGCAATTCGCCGGCCAACGAATAACTACATGTTCACCGCTTTTTATAAGTGCATTTACACGTTCTTCTTCTTTCACTGTTGTTAGCCATGCGAAATATCCAACGGCTATATTTCCGTTCTCGTTAGGAAACTCTACGAGAATACACTTTTCATCGTTCAACTCCTCTGTGTCATTCACCTCCATTATCCGATAAATACTATAATTATCTATACTTTCCAAATTCCTCCGAATTCCTTGTTAGCACGATCGTATCGCGAGTATGATTCTTTCTGGTTTACCGCGTTATCCTTATGCGCGTACGCATGCGTTCCACAACGCATGCTCAACGCGCAACAGTTTGCATATCACCTCGTTATCACGTGGCTCTATGTTTTTGTATACATTACATCGATGGTTTTGAAACGAAGTATTGAGAATAATGAAACGAGGCCCTTATAAAGAACATTTGAAAAGGACTGGCGACCTTCCTCTATCGACAGACTATTCTCGAAAGAAAAGACGAGTTGGTGTTGGTGAATGTAGTACGGGCAAGAGAACGACATACAATGAAGAGGTTATGTCCCCTGATGCACGTGTAAGTACATAATAAATAATTATAAATTTGCATTTTCTAAAATATAATTGTAATATTTGATTTACTTACATGAATTTTGAAGTTATAATTTTATTGACATATGTTTTTCTTTATATGTTAAGTATTTGCAATTTGTATATATTGTAATAACTGAACTAAACCTATCCTTATCGATTTCGGAGCGGTTCCTCCAACGTCTGGTAGAATCTCTTGGTGTCAGGAAAGCCTCGTGAGCCTTAGAGATCCTTGAGAAGGCGCGTGGATGCAGCTTATTTCCGAAGGATATCGATACAAGGTAGGAATCTTGGAGTCAAGGGAGAATAACTTTGAGACATTATTGGAATGGTAAGTTAAGATATAATTCCTTCAAAATTAACTCGTTTACACAAATTATCACAATGACCCTCTTGCTCGCGCTATTACCTATCGCTCGCAAAACCCGAAGGAGAGTGTCTCCCTTCCGATGCCGTAAGAATCTCGTGGTCACGCTCTCGCGTGCGCGCGCATACGTGCTCACCATCCGGTATACTTTGGTGGCAGCACCGCACGGTTGACGTCAAACGTAAGTTCCGCTGACAGCCGCGCGCCTCTTACAACTCGGCCAGCCTGATTCTACTTCGCCTCGAAGTTTATTTGGCCTGATGACCTAATAGTAGTTGGTGCACAATTACAGCGTAGTGTCGATTACGTCTTGCAGACTAGGGCGCCTCAGGTATGTATTTTATCTTCATTATACGACACGCTCGCGCCTCAAGTTACGAGATTACTGTCTTCCTAATTCTATTGATTACATTATTTACAATATTACTTTCTATAGCTTATTTATAAGAAGTTTAACGCGTTGCCTGCAATTTTAACGATATCATTATTATCTTATTCGCTTTCAAGGGTGGCTATCTTTATCCACGGTTTGATTCGGTCTGATGACAAGATAGTGTCCATCGGTTTTTGACTCAAATTGAACCCAGGTATATCTTGTACGACGTATCTATTGTACCCTAGTACTTTGGTTATAATATATGGCCCTTTGAATAGAGGTTTCAATTTAGAACTGATCCCCGCCTTATTCCTATCGTTTCTGATCATAACTTTGTCGCCTTTCTTATACTGCGACGGTCTGATACTATGTTTGTCACGGTATATTTTATTGTAATTTCTAATTATCTCGGTGGCTTGCAAAGCCGTATCTCTAACTCGTTCTCTTTCTACCTCTAGGTCCTGGTCAATTTTTACCAATGCTCTCGTGTGCTGTGCTACCTTACTGTCTGCATGGTTACGCTGATCGTAACCAAGCATGAGCTTCGACGGGGTGGATTTGATCACTGAATGTGAGTATTATTTAAAACGTATTGCATTGTGTATAATCCCTTTTTCCACTCCTCCTGGTGATTTAGCAATTTTGTTAGCGACGATTTTAAAAATCTATTTACCCTTTCCACCATCCCATTGGCCCAAGGTGCCGCTACAGCTACTTTACGATGCTTTATTTGGCGCTTTTCTAAATATTCTGTCAGTTCTTTTGACGTGAAGGCTGATCCTCTATCAGAAACCAGCTCAGATGGTCTTCCGAATGTTGCAAAAATATTTTCTAGATTAGAAATGACTTCTTTTGTCCCTGTAGACCTAGTTGGAGACAACCATGTAAACCGAGAAAAAGCATCTATTAGCACTAACACATGTTTAAAATTGTCAGACGTTTCCTGGAGCGGACCATAATGATCCATATGAAGTAATTCCAGGGGCCCTTTAGGCAAAGGAAACAGCTGCGTTTCTCCTTCCCTACTGTGCCATGAACTATTAGCGGTGAGACACGTCAAACAATTTTCTAAATAGTCATGTACTCGCTTACTCATCTGCGGGAACCAGTAATTTTGTTTAATTCCTTGTAACGTTTTTTCGAAACCATTATGAGCCATGTCGTCATGGTGCGCTCTCATAATACTTATTATCATAGATTCTGGCACTAGAAATTTTAGATCATTATCTAATTTTTTATAGACTAATCCGTCTACCAACGCGAATTTATCACTGGCTTCTGTTTCTAACTCGTTACTGATTTTCTGTATGGCAGGATCTGCCAACTGAAGGAACTCCAACCGTCTTTCTAACGGAAGCTCCTCTATCAAGGCTACGCTACGGCTCAGAGCATCTGCATGAGCCATTCTATTCCCTGGCCGGTGGGTGATATCAAAATCATAATTTTGCATCGCCAACGTCCATCTGGCTATTCTCGGATTCAGATTTGCTTTTTTAACCGCGTGAACTAATGCATTGCAATCTGTAACTATTATGAACTTTATTCCATATAAGTACAAGTGAAACCTTTCTACAGCCCTTACTATTGCTAACATCTCTAATTCGAAGCTATGATACTTTGTTTCAGCTGAGTTAGTCGCCTGACTGAAGTATGCAACCGGGGCCCATTTCCCGTCACCTTGTTTCTGCAGAAGGACCGCACCGATACCGGAGCTACATGCGTCTGTATGTAATTGCGTTTCCGCAGACGGACTGTACAACCTGAGGACCGGATAAGATGTTAGTTCGGCTTTTATTTTTTCGAAAGACTGTACGCATGCCTTATCAAAATTGTAATCCGCCCCTTTTTTTAACAGGTTTTGTAAAGGTTTCGCCTTCTGTGCGTAATCCTTTACAAACTTTCTAAAATAATTCGCGAGCCCCAAGAATCTTTGCAATTGAAGTTTATCTCGGGGTTGCCTATAGTTTTTCACTGCCTCAGTATGACGGGGGCTTATCGTAACACCCTCGCCTGATATTACATACCCTAAGAACTCTACTTGTTTTCTTAAAAATTTACACTTTTGGTAATTTAACTCGAAGCCATACATCTTGAGCAGTACTAACACTTCCTCTAAAACTTCTAGGTTTTCCCGGATTGTCTTCGACGCGATCAACACGTCATCGATGTACACGAGTACCTTGTCTTGCCGAATCAGCGGGCTCAGTATCTGTATGAGTCTCTTTTGAAACTCGGCAGGAGACTCACAAAAACCAAACGGTAGGCGTTTAAATTCGAATTGGCCCTCCGGGGTCGCGAATGATAAATATTTCCTCGAATCTTTATGTATCTTGATTTGATAAAAACTATCACGGAGGTCTAAAAGAGTGAAAATCTTTTTCTCGCCTAAACTCGCTAGACAATCCTCAATGATTGGAAAAGGGTACTTCTGTTTGTGTACCCGACTATTTAGTGGTCGCAGATCTACGCATAGCCTTGGCTGTCCATTCTTTTTTTTAACTAGGAGGACCCTCGCACAATAAGGCGATGCGCTCGGCTGGATCACCCCTCGTCTCAATAGGTCATCCGTGATTTCTCGCATTTGCTTTCTTTCCTGTAACGCAAACCGTCTCGGAGCGTACGCGAATACCGACGTATCCTTCACGTTGACCTGTACCGCATATGCGGTACATCGTCGACCGGTACAATATCCCGATTTCTAACATTTAATATCAAATTCTGTAATTGTTGCTTTACTTTAAAATCGAAATCTATATTATTATCGCTTATTATTTGATTCAGATCGTCCGTTCTTTGTTCGTCGACGCACAAGGGCAGAAACGAAAACAAGTTTATCTTTTGTTCGATGTCCTTCGCCGCCGGATTATAGACCAAGGTAAGTTTGTTTTTGTACAGAAACTCGCGACCTATAATGATATCACCTTGGAACGACTCGCTATTCAAAACATGTAAATCGACCGAAAATTCCTTAGAATTCAATTTTTCTATTTTCAGCTTTAATGAGATTATGCCAAGAATCTGTAATTTTTCATTAGACAAATTACGCAAATTTGTTTCTACGCTTGCGATTTCGCTACCGCTCGGGTCGATATATTTTTTATACGCGCTCGCCTTAACGAAGGACACGGGGCTGCCGGTGTCCAACATCGCTAACAATTTTTCCGTTGTCCTTGACAGGCTTACTTGAATTAGTGGGTTATCCACGACCAGCTGTGAGCCGACCTCGTCAACGGCCGCAACCTCGTTCGCGTCGGCTGGGTCTAGATCTCTGCACGTCGCAGCCACCGTCGATGCGCTGGTCACCTTAGCCGCCGTTCTGCTCTCCTTCTTCCTCAGGGCCGGACAATCGAACCTTCGATGTCCTCGCTCCTTGCAATAGAAGCAAGTAGCATCAGCCCTGCACTGTTGATGACTGTGTCCTTTTTTTCCACAGTTTTTACAGCTGCTATCCATCTTGGCCTGCGACAAACTAGGGGCAGCCTTCCTTTCGACCTCCATCGTGCCCTGCGTGATCGTGCGCATTTTCTCTAGAAAGGAGTCCACGCTGCCGGCCGACAACGACAACGCTGTGGCCCTCAGGGACATCTGCTGGATGCCACTCACCAGGAGTTGGATACGGTCGTCCTCAGGAAGGTCCAGCCGGTGCATCAGAGACAGCTTCTCTAACGCGTACTCGTCGAAGGATTCCTTGGCAGGTAACCATTTTCTCGCCTCAATTCTCTGCATGGATCTAAAGAACGGAATCTTTCGATCAAATATCTTTATCATTTCTGCGCGCAGGCCTACCCATGATTCGACGGCCGTGTCACCCTGGACGTCGAACCAGCGGCGTGCGGACTTCGTGAGCTTGCTGGAGGCCGCCAGCAACGTCGCTCCGTCTGTCGCTCCGTGTACTTGGGCAACCTTGTCCACCCTCTTCACCCAGGCATGGACGTTGTTCTCCTCGGAGCCGGCGAACTCTGGAATCTGATGGGCCAGCGCCTGCACTGCGGATCCCGTTGACCACGATTCCGTAGACCGTCGGCCCGTCTCATCCGACGGGGAGTCCCTCGACAGCACCCGGTCGAGAGTCGCCGTCGGCGCCTCCCGCTGCCGTGAGACCTCCGCCTGCTGATCCACCAGTAGCTGGAGGATCTTCGTCAACTGTTGCTGCTGGCCCTGCATCACCAGCAACATCTGTTGCATCGGGTCCGCCTCCGTTGGCGTCTGCGGACCGGTGCGTGCCGGGGCCGCCTTTGCTGTCTTCGGTACGGCACCCGGCTGTTGCCTGGGAGCAGCTAGGTCCAGCATCTCCGCCATCGGCCCATGCCTTTCCAGATGTGTCATGATGGTATCGATGAGCGTGCTGCTGGTCCCGGTAATAGGCAGTCTATATCTGGCCGCCTCGTCTTTTAGTTCCTCGAGGGTAAGCCTCTCAAGACTTGCCCGATCCATTACCAGCTGCTTACGTGTCCGTACCATGCGCCGATCACGTGTTCGAATGTTCTCGAACCTTCCGGTCACACTACTCCGTTCCTGCAACACGGAGCAATCCTGCTGCCAATCCCACTTCTGAGATTGTAATAACTGAACTAAACCTATCCTTATCGATTTCGGAGCGGTTCCTCCAGCGTCTGGTAGAATCTCTTGGTGTCAGGAAAGCCTCGTGAGCCTTAGAGATCCTTGAGAAGGCGCGTGGATGCAGCTTATTTCCGAAGGATATCGATACAAGGTAGGAATCTTGGAGTCAAGGGAGAATAACTTTGAGACATTATTGGAATGGTAAGTTAAGATATAATTCCTTCAAAATTAACTCGTTTACACAAATTATCACAATGACCCTCTTGCTCGCGCTATTACCTATCGCTCGCAAAACCCGAAGGAGAGTGTCTCCCTTCCGATGCCGTAAGAATCTTGTGGTCACGCTCTCGCGTGCGCGCGCATACGTGCTCACCATCCGGTATACTTTGGTGGCAGCACCGCACGGTTGACGTCAAACGTAAGTTCCGCTGACAGCCGCGCGCCTCTTACAATATATGTATTTTGACACATGAATATTATGTGTAGAATGGACTACCGTTTGATGATCTGCATGAAAATGAAGATTATGTAAATCAACAGGAACTACTAGACCATTTATGTATTGCAAATCTTGATAATATTGATGATAGTAATTCATCGGTTCAAGAAATTGATGACAGTGACCAGCAAAGTGATACAAGCATAAGCGATGATAATAATGATTATGACAGTATTGAAGAGCACAAATCATCAAGTGTTAGCGATTTCAATGAAGGCTCCGAGAATTTCGAATCAGATCAGGATGAAGAAAATTTTGAAGATGAAAATATTAATGTTGAAAAGCGTTGTCCCAATCATGACGTACAGGTAAACAAATAAATTAAAGTTATTATTACGCATACAATATTTTTAATAATATTTAAAAAATATTACAGTGCCGACAAGTTTTATATGAGGGCTGCGATTTAACAAAAGAAGAAAGTGTACTTCTAATAATGAGTGTAGCCTTACGTCATCATTTCACTGATGCAGCATTACAATCTTTCATCCAAACCATTGATTGTCATCTTCCTCGCACATATCACGGTTCGAAATATCTATTTTATAAATCTGTACCAAAGCAGACTTATCATGTATATTACTTTTGTCCACAATGTATACTTATTTTACATGTTGACAATGACTGCATTACTGTAAAATGCGATAATTGTTCTGAGCAGTATAACCCATCACAGCTCAAAAAAGATGGAAAATTTTTTATATATATACCGCTGAAAGAGCAACTAATCGAGTTAGTTAATTCTAAGGTTTTTATGCAATTTCGACAGGAAAACGAAAAGGAAAGTGACGTTATCAATGGTAAAGTGTACCGTAAACTGAAAAGAAAAAATATAGGGGAAAATGACATTACTATTGAATGGAATACAGATGGCGTACAACTTTTTAATTCTTCCCTATCTTCTTTATGGCCAATTTTGGTAACAATTAATGAATTGCCTTATCGTATTCGAAAACAACAAATATTGCTAACTGGTTTATGGTTCCAATCAAGTAAACCTCCAATGAATGTTTTTCTCCAACCTTTTCTTGAAGAACTGATAGATTTACATTTTAATGGCTTTGAAAGCACGACATTCATTCACCAAGAACCAATTCTTATAAAAGTCCATACATTGCTTGCTCCGGTTGATTCTGTTGCCAGATCAGCCATTCAGGGTATAAAGCAGTATAATGGAAAGTATGGGTGCCCATATTGTTATCATAAAGGAAAACAAATTTGTATAGAACAAAATAGGCGAAAACGAGTATACTGTGGCAATATATGTACTTTACGTAAACAGAGCCATTACGTGCGTCATGCTGAAAAAAGTCAAAAAAAAAATAAACCAGTTAAGGGCGTCAAATGGCCATCAATTGTTACACTTATACCACTGTTTAACGTCATTTCATCATTTCCGCCGGAATATTTGCACAGCCTGGCAGAAGGTGTAATTAAACAATTTTTGATGGCATGGTTTGATTCTAGCAATCGTGAGAAAGATTGGTCCTTACGTAAGCACGAAGTGCTCTTTGATAAAAGATTAATGAGCATGAAACCTACCTCCAAAATAACTAGAACACCTCAATCAATAACACAACGGAGATTGTGGAAAGGTGCAGAATACAAAAATTTTGCTTTATATTATTCTCTCATATGTTTAAAAGGGTTAATGCCAAATAAATATGTACAGCATTGGTTGTTACTAGTTTACAGTATGCATGTTTTTCTAAGTACAACAATATCTCCTAATAATTTTATCATAGCTACGTTTGCGCTCCAAAAATTTGTACTTGATATTGAAAAATTGTATGGAGCAATGTTTATGAACTACAATATACACTTGATGTTACATATTCCAAAAGCTGTAAAACAATTTGGCGCTTTGTGGGCATGGTCAACTTTTCCGTATGAAGATTTTAATCATACTATACAATCACTTTTTAACGGCACTCAATATATTCCGGAACAAATCTGCAAATTTTATTCTCGTATAAGATACGTAAAACAAAGTTCAGTTTTTGATCAGCCTAATTGTAGTAAAAAAGGAAAGGATCTTTTTGATTCTATTATAAAAGAATGTCGAATTAAAAGATGCATGGAATATGGAAATTCTTTGCGAGCATTTGGTTCTGCAATTATCATAGAGTTATCATTAATAGAAAAAATAACTGTCGAACAATTTTTGGGAGAATCAGTTAAAAACAAAGCACTAGCTTATCAGCGATTTATATACCAAAATATTCTCTATCATGGTTCCAATTGTACTCAACTAAAAAAAAGATGTAACAGTACAATTTTAACTACAGATAGATCGTTATTAGATATTCAATATCTATGTATAGCAGAAACATCAGCAGGCATAAAAAACAATTGTTAATTTGTAAGGTATTGCAAACACTGCGTGGTGATGAAATATGTAAAAATAGGAATATAACGTTAAATCTTTTCTCTTACGTTATAGAAAAAACAGACATTATTAAATGTGTATTTCCTTCTGCGATTAGAAAGAAATGTATTAATATTCCTGTTTATTCCACAAACAATATTAATTATGATAATAATAAGCGATGCATAATACCTCTTGTAAATAATATAGAAACTGATTGAATTATATAAATAATAAGAATTATGAAATAAGTTTATAATGAAAAATATAAATGTAAAAAACATATGTAAAAGTAAAAATGTAAAAAAATGTAAATTTAAAAATCTATACATGTAAAGCAATAATTGTTTTAACATTTGTATTAAAAGTCTTTTCTTCCAAATAAAAAATAACGTTGATAGTATGTAACTTATTGTACGTTATTCACTTTGTGACATTGTAAATTTTAACATTGTAAAAAATTTTAACATTGTAAAAAATTATTTATTGCAGAAAATATGGAACATTAATTTTTAAATATTTTAGACATTAAAAAACGTTCAATAAAATCTTTCGTAAATAATTAAAATAAATAAAAGCAAAAACTTATTAAATATATAAATAATAATTTATACTATATATTTATAAAACATTTATTTTTTAATTAAATTTACATTATTCATATATAAAAACACCTAATATTATTTGTATCTTTGCAAAAATATTTTGCTGCTTTATTTGAAAGAAATATTTAAACCTTCTAGCATAACAAAATTTTAAAGTTTTTATATTTGCAATAACATTTTCAATATTTCTGCTTATATTATATAATAGAATTAATCATGAGCGACATCCAGTAATATTTGCGTGTAATTTGTACCCTCAGTAGTTATTACATATGCAGTGATCTTTCTAGTGATACCCAACAGGCGAGTAATATTCGTCTGTATTCCGTTGCTAGTAATTATTATAGAGGCAATAATATTCGTCTTGATAATTACAGAGCCATCAGTAATAATCACACAGCCGCGTGTAATAATCACACGGCCGGCAATAGTTCCTTTTCGTAAGGGAAGGTTTTGTTCCAAATATCTCATGCATAACCTATATCAGAAAAATTATCTTTAATTAATCTAATTATCTGTACAATTATAAAAATTTCAAAAAAGATGAAAAAGAAAAATATTGCTTTTTAATAAGAAAAGATACATTTGGACACAATGTGATTAAACACAATCACTATATATAAAAGAATGTCTAGAATAATCAGTATGATTTATGAATTAAAGTTAAAAATTATATATAAATTGATATAAATTATAAATAGTACTTCTAATTAGTAATACCTCATAATATTCCCATTTCCTCCTATTATTTCCTGATTTTTTAATATGATCAGTAACAGATTTATATGTTCTTTTTAAACACTGGAATTTAGTAGTACCATTTAATTCCAGATATATGATATCCTGCATCTTTCATTTTCTTGGAAATATTATTCCAACACTGTTTCGCAGACATCTTAGGATTATTGAACATTTCTTCGTGTTCTTTATATAAAGTAATAAGTAACAGTGTTTCAGCACGAGTCCATATATGTTGATCTAAACAGAATAATGTTGTTTTCTTGAAAAAATATTTATTTTAACTTTTACTCATATTTACTTTCACTACTACCTTTCGTATCTGAAGTTTCACTCATATCTAAATTACTTGCAGTGCTGCAATTAGTTGTGTCATCTGTAAACATGTATATCTTTTATACATCAGACAATCTTATGAATGCGATATCACAAATGGAACATTATCATTGTTATTAAATTAAGTATTAAAATAAACCTGTTTCTGAATCTATAATATCTTTTATTTCTCCAGCTGCATATTTTTTCGCTTGTTGCAATAGAGAGTATGCAAATATATGATCTGTAAAAAATTACAAATAAAATTATAATTGCATATACATTATAATTAATAATAAGTTTGAACACTTATATTCTGAATCAAATTTTGATCAAATATTATAGGTTATTGTAGGCGAATTATTATTCTACCGATATTCATTTATATACACGCGTGAGCGGCGAATTACGTTTCCTCTCCCCCCCCCTCTGCCGCTGGCGGCGCTGCGTAAGAAAGAAGGGAGAAGGTTAAGAAGGTCAGTTCCCCGCGGAAAGGGAGAGCGGTTGGACAGATATACGGCAGTGAGCCGTCGTGCGTGTCCTATCGAGTACAGTTTAACCTAATAAAGATCCTTTGTTAAGATCCACTAGAAGCCTTATTAGAATTACGCCCTGACATCATCTAAAACTATCCTGACACCACCTACAACTTCAGAAGTGGAATCAAAGAAGAAGTTAGCGAAGGATCTGTGAGGTTAATACACGGGACTTTGAAAAGTACGACCAAGTGTTGTGGTCGATGCAGAGAAAACCGTGTCTTGTGTTACTCGTGCAAAAAGACAGAATATTCCGCGCTGTGTGCCACGAATATTTTGAAGGTTATTCGCGCTGTGTGCCGCGAATCTTTGCTCGTGCTAAAAGACAGAATATTCCGCGCTGTGTGCCACGAATATTTTGAAGGTTATTCGCGCTGTGTGCCGCGAATCTTTGCTGCGTGCAAAAAGACAGAATATTCCGCGCTGTGTGCCACGAATATTTTGATGGTTATTCGCGCTGTGTGCCGCGAATCTTTGCTGCGTGCAAAAAGACAGAATATTCCGCGCTGTGTGCCACGAATATTTTGAAGGTTATTCGCGCTGTGTGCCGCGAATCTTTGCTGCGTGCTAAAAGACAGAATATTCCGCGCTGTGTGCCACGAATATTTTGACGGTTATTCGCGCTGTGTGCCGCGAATCTTTGCTGCGTGCTGAAAGACCGAATATTCCGCGCTGTGTGCCACGAATATTTTGACGGTAATTCGCGCTGTGTGCCGCGAATCTTTGCTGCGTGCTAATTGATCCGCCGCGTACGAGAGAAAGCGAGTCCACGTATCGCGCGCGGTGAATCGACGCGTAACGCGATATCCCTGTGAGATAGAATATTCCGCGCTGTGTGTCGCGAATATTTTGAAGGTTATTCGCGCTGTGTGCCGCGAATCTTTGCTGCGTGCTAAAAGACAGAATATTCCGCGCTGTGTGCCACGAATATTTTGACGGTTATTCGCGCTGTGTGCCGCGAATCTTTGCTGCGTGCTAAAAGACAGAATATTCCGCGCTGTGTGCCACGAATATTTTGAAGGTTATTCGCGCTGTGTGCCGCGAATCTTTGCTCGTGCTAAAAGACAGAATATTCCGCGCTGTGTGCCACGAATATTTTGACGGTAATTCGCGCTGTGTGCCGCGAATCTTTGCTGCGTGCAAAAAGACAGAATATTCCGCGCTGTGTGCCACGAATATTTTGACGGTTATTCGCGCTGTGTGCCGCGAATCTTTGCTGCGTGCTAAAAGACAGAATATTCCGCGCTGTGTGCCACGAATATTTTAACGGTAATTCGCGCTGTGTGCCGCGAATCTTTGCTGCGTGCTAATTGTTCCGCCGCGTACGAGAGAAAGCGAGTCCACGTATCGCGCGCGGTGAATCGACGCGTAACGCGATATCCCTGTGAGATAGAATATTCCGCGCTGTGTGTCGCGAATATTTTGACGGTAATTCGCGCTGTGTGCCGCGAATCTTTGCTGCGTGCTAAAAGACAGAATATTCCGCGCTGTGTGCCACGAATATTTTGACGGTAATTCGCGCTGTGTGCCGCGAATCTTTGCTGCGTGCTAATTGTTCCGCCGCGTACGAGAGAAAGCGAGTCCACGTATCGCGCGCGGTGAATCGACGCGTAACGCGATATCCCTGTGAGATAGAATATTCCGCGCTGTGTGTCGCGAATATTTTGACGGTAATTCGCGCTGTGTACCGCGAATCTTTGCTGTGTGCTAATTGTGCCGACGTGTGTCGCGAACATTTAGACTGAGGTTAAACATTTATTAACACGTCGCTGTGTGCTAGGACGTATAGAAAAGGGAGGTGCAGTGTGTCACTAACAATGGCGAGACCGCCGAGTGCGTATACGCTCGCCGAAATTAAGGACATTCTCCGCGAGAAGAAATTGCCGGCGACCGGTAACAAAGCTGACCTGATAGATCGATTGACTGCCAATGACCCGGAGATATGGACCACACTGGATGAACAGAGGTCACGGCAGAGCCGCGGTGTCGATCAGCCGATTGACGCGGGCCATGAATCGAGGGATGCCGTCGCGGGCAAGGACAATGAAAGCCAAGTAAGTAACGACGCATCCGTTGAAGGTCCTTTGACTGAGAATGACTTGATTCGACGAGAAAATGAACTACTTAGAAGAGAACGAGCTCTTCTTCAACGTGAATTAGATATCGTTAGACAAGAGAACATCGAAGATCATGGAGCACCGCAGATGAATGATGACGGAAGAAGACGTAATGGTCCACCGATGAGCGAAAGTGTAAGGGCTATTCGCGACTTGTTGAGCGAATTCGACGGCAGTGAGGGTACGTTCTGGAAATGGGAACAGCAGGTACAATTGCTGCGAGTGTCGTACGCCTTGGATGATGCTGCGACAAGAATTTTAATAAGCTCCAAATTAAAAGGACGTGCATCCGAGTGGTTTCACTCCAAACCACATCATCTTACCCTTGGTATAGAAAATCTATTGGCGGCCATGAAGGGAATGTTCGACCTTCGTCAATCAAGATTGTCCCTACGCAAGAAGCTCGAAGAGAGAGCATGGCGGACGGACGAATCATTCACGAGTTACTTCCATGATAAAATAATCCTCGCTAATAGGGTACCGATAGTAGATGACGAAGTTGTCGATTATGTCATCGAGGGTATACCTGATCGCAATCTCAGAGATCAAGCACGTATTATGCAGTTCGAGTCTCAGTCGGATTTATTGGAGGCATTTAAAGGATTGACGCTACACCCGAAGAAGTTCCCTGATCGCGAATGGAAGAAACCTATTGATCAAGGAAAAATCCAAAAGGATGGGAAATTGTCGACGAAGGAGAGTTCAGCGTTTAAAGGAAATCCAGCATCGTCGAGTGCAGATTTGGCACCACGCCGAAAGATAATTAAATGTTATAACTGCCAGGGAGTTGGACATCTGGCATCCGCATGTTCACACCCGAAGAAAGTTAAGGGAGGCTGTCATCGATGTGGTTCAGCCAGCCACTTGAAAAAAGACTGTCCCGAGAAAGAGTCGAAACCCGAGTCGACGAACGTTGTGAACTTGATCGAACCGATATCCGTTAGCGATCCGTATTGTGTACAGTTAAAGTTTTCGGTGTCCTTTGAAGGGGATATGGATCGTGAATATACAGTAGACGCGATAGTTGATCCCGGCTCCCCAGTGAGCCTCATAAAAACTGAGTATGTTCCGACGAGTTTGCGCGAACCGCTACCTCCTAACAGCGATTGTTTCTGTGGAGTAAATAAATCCCCTGTTCGCGTAGTAGGCACCTTTTCGAAATTAGTCGAAATCGAAAGAATTAATATTCAGCTACGTTTTCTGGTAGTACCGAACGAAACAATGTCGTGTGCGGCATTACTTGGTCGCGATTTCTGTCGAGATCCGTTAATAAAAATCGAACTAGGTAAAACGGTAAAGATTACTAGGAGAAACGAGTCGACAAGCGAGAACAATTTTGATACCGAGATTATGCAAATAGAATATCTCAAAAGTCCTGTAAAAGTTGGAGAAGAATTGAATATTAATCCCGGTGTCGAATCGCATGTAGTCGAAAGCGTTCGAAGATTGTATAACAAAGAATACGTTGATAAATGGGATTCCGATGTAAGCGAACCGGAAACCGAGATGAAAATTTTATTAAAAAATGAACAGCCGATTACCTTCCGGCCTAGGCGTTTAACGTTTCCCTCAGGGGCACTACAGACTCATCCCTGTAGTGTACGGGTGTCGCAATCCCGAGGTACCCGAGCTGGAGTGTGTGGTGATGGATGAACGGGGTGTGATGGGCGTGCAGGCCCTAAAAAGGACTTGTCCACTGCACTAGGTGAAGGAAAACACCGAAGATAACACCCGGGGGGGAGGCCCCGTTAGCTGAGTAAGGCAACCTCCTAAGGGGAAGGAAAACCCCCGACAGAAAAAACCAATTTTCTTTTCAGATGATGAGTTCGAGAAAGAAGACGACGTCCCGGGTTCGGGTACCGGGAACCGGCGTGGGGGGGGTGTAGGCCTGGCCCCCTCCTCGTCGTCATCAGACGACAGGTCGTCTGCGGATTTGTCGACTGGGTCCGCAGACTGGAAGGCGACAGTGTCGAAGAAGCTAGAGGACGAGATAGATAGATGTTTATCATGCTGGCTATTAAATGGGAGGATTTGGGTCCGAATGACGACCCAAGGATCTGGCGGAGGACATCCACTGCTTGCTCCGGACGAGGAGGTGCGTGAGTATCGTTATTTGGCCTATATTATAGGCTTGTTAAATACACCGAGGGTTTCCTTAATGAATGTGTGCGCGGCGGAACCCTCTTTTGTCGGCATCATAAGTGCGTACGGTTCTTGAGCCTATTGTATTGAGCGACTCAGAGTCGGCGGAAGTAGGTAGCGAGTCAGTGAGTGTGAGTGGCTGTTCTCAGCCTCTCCCCTCACCTGATAAGTTGAGAGGAGATAGCAGTGATGAGATGGAGGTTGGTGAGTTGTCCTACGTCTCGGCCCCGTCAGCGAGCTCCCCCGAATCCAGGGTGGGCAGGCGTGATAGGGACGTTTCATGGGCTCCTCACGATATTAGGTTGCTGAAGGGACGGAAGCAGTATCCGCGTAAGATAACTGCAGGTAAGAGCACCAAGCGAAAGAGGGGTCGCCCCATAAAAACGGGGGAGTACGCCAATTTGGCGCAGGAGAGGGAGCGCCTAAATAG